TAACGTTAATACGTCTAATAAAGAATATTACTAAATCCTACTAATAAGCAGATAAGAGCCTTATAAGCTTACTAAATAGCTACTAATTAATTAGTAATAAGGGTTATTAACACCTGCCTATTAGGTTTAAATCTTATCTAATTAAATCCTACTAAAGAGCAGATAAGAGCCCTATAAGCTTACTAATAGGCTGCTAATTACATAGTAATAAGGGTTATTAACACCTAACTATTAGGTTTAAATCCTATCTAATTAAATCCTACTAAAAGAGTAGATAAGGGTTATTAACACCTAAAATTAAATTCTACTAAAGAGCAGATAAGGGTTATTAACACCTAACTATTATAATTAAAAGGGTTTAAATCCTACTATCTAGGTTTAAATCCTATCTATCTAGGCGTACAGCCTAGGGACTAGACCTTCTAGGAAGGGGGGTAATTATAACGATATCCCTAGGCTAAGGGGCAGGATGCCTATAGATTAGTTAATTACCGGCCGATTAGTAATACATTAGCCCGGCTGGAAACACATATATATATATTACCCTTTAGCCTGGCCAGCCAGCTAAAGTGGCCAAGTTAAATTCTATATCTATAGATACCCCTACCTATTAATTTAATCAATTTAACGTCTATCTTCTTCCCTAATCTAGGCCCTTAGCTAATACACCTTACACCTTATAGTTACCTTACTTATAAAGACACTTTACTTTTAGTAAGAGATATATACTACTACCTAAAGCGTTATTAGTAATATAAGCTTAGGTAGTAAAAGTAATAAGTAACCCTACCTAGTAAAAAGACTTAGTAGCCTTATAGGCCTATAAGGAAAGAAGCACTAGGCTAAGGCTATTAACCTAAGTAATAATAATAATAAGTAAATAGTAAGGTTAAAATATAAATAAATAACCTTAAGATATAAGGCTATAATATAGGGAAGATAAAAAATAGTAGCTATTACTTTCTTAATTAGCTCTTAAAGTATTTAGTAAGAAAAAATAAGGTCTTTTTAAGGGGGGGCACTTATTATAAGATAAGGTAGTAAGTACTTATAGTTAGAAGATAAATAGATAGTAAAAACTAAATACCTAATATATATATAATATATTATATATACCTTAGGTATATATCCCTTTAGTAAGTAACTTTTTATAGAAAAAGGGTTAACTATAAATATACCTTCTATTTATTACTTATCTTATTTTATATTATTTATTTAGCTCCTTATTATTATTTATCTTGCTTTACTACTCTGCTGTTACGCTTTACCTTTACACTACGTTACTTTATAACACTACTATAGCCTAGCTTTATCTTATTAGAACTATAATAGCTGCTAGGAAGGCTATATTAAAAAGGCTTTTTTAACTATAGTTTAAGTAGTAGTAACCTCTTTTTATATAAGAGGTTAGTTAGGAGGTAGTTTTAAGGTACTAAAAAAGATATACTTTATAATAGTAGTAGTTAGTATATATAATACTATTATAGTAAAAGGCCTTAAAGATATTCTTAAAAGTAAAAGTAGTAAAGGTTATAATATAAGTAGCTTATAAGAGGTTAGTAAAAAGTTACTAAAGTACCTCTTACTAATAATAAAAAAATAATAATACAAGAATACTTATATAAATATACTTCTTATTATATATCTTAATATACTAAGAGTACTTATTACTAGTAGCTAATAGTATAATTAAGACTAAGATATAAGTAAAAAAGGGCCTTTAGAGGGCACTAAGGTATTAGGTACTTACTAGTAGTCTTAAGGTAATAAGGAAACTTAGCCTTAGTGTTAACTATATCTATATACTAAATAAATATAGCCTAAAGGTAGTAGTAGTATAAAATAAAATAAACTATAGTGTATTTATTTTTATTCTTTTTATCTAAAGAGGTAATAGACTAAAGAGGTAGTAAGAGGGTAGTAGTAAGGCCCTTAGTGCCCTTAGAGGTAGTAAGGGTAGTAGTATTAGTAGTGTTAGTAAGTATAGTAGTATTAGTAGTATTAGTAAGTATAATAGTAAATATAATAATAGTAGTAAGAAAGCTAGTAGTATTAGTATTATTACTAGTACTATTACTATTACTATTACTACTAAGTAGTAGTAGTAATAGTAGTAGTAGTAAAAGAATAATAATAATAATATAAAAGTATTATAAAAAAAAATAAGTAATAAAGAAATTAATAAAAACCTAAGTTAATTTAAATTACTTATTTAAGTTAGTATTAAGAAAAAGGCTAGTTATAATAATAACTTAAGCTTATAAAGTTAAGACTAAATAGACCTTAGTAAAAAAAGCTAGCTAAGACTAAAAAGTTACTAATACTAACTATAAAAAGTAAAATAAAAATTCTTTTTTATTATAAAAATAATATAACTTAAGGCTTAATAAATAGTTAATAAAAAGCTAGATATTATAATAATAAAAATAATAAAAAGTATATAATACTTAAAGATATACTATAAAGCCTAGTTAATAAAAAGTATTAAAAAGTATTATAAGTAAATAAAGTATTTTTATTATAAAATAAGTAGTTTTTTACTAAGTAAAGTAATATAAGACTTATACTTTAAGCTAAAAGACTAAACTACCCTAGAGAAGTAGTAGTTAAAGCCTAGCTAGAATATAATAGTATAAAAGTAAGGCTAAAAGTAAATAGTTAGCTAAAAAAATAACTACTTATTTAATAGCTTACTAAGCCTAGTAAATATTTCTAAATATCTCTTAAAATACTAAAAAATAAGTATAAGGTATAAGGCTTAGCTATTAAATAGTCTAAGTAGCTAATAAGAGGACTACTAGTAAGTAGCCTACTTAAGGTCTTAAGAAATTAAGAGTTAGGTATAAGGCTTAGCTATTAAATAGTCTAAGTAGCTAATAGGGGGGCTACTAGTAAATAGCCTACTTAAGGTCCTAAGGGCAGGACCTTAGAGGGGGGAGATTATATTAGGTGCTTAGAGCAGGGCCTTAAGGGGGTACTAGAGTAGGACTAAGACTAAATAAACTAGTTACTAAAGGAATAATAAAAAGGGAAAACTTTATAGAATATAGGGGTTAGAGGAGGTATATTAGAATAATTATTATAATTAAACCCTAACTATACCTATTACTAACTCCTTTACTTAATACTATCCCTGCCTCTGACATGTAGTTATAAAAAGGACAGTAACTCTATGAGTTAGAAAACTGCTTACCTAATAGTTGTACTATTATTGCGTCTATCTATCTGCGTGGCTCTCGCGAACGGCAATTCCATGTAAATCCGGTGTTAAAGGACTTTCGCCCTGTTTGAGAAAGTCTACTTCAACAACTGGCGGCCCGCGATGCATAAAAGACGCGAGCGCTACCATATTTACGAGTGCGCTATTGATCTAAAGTCTAACAGTATTAGCTTGTCTTAGTTTATATGCATGCTTGTCTCGGCAGATCTTAGTCCACTGTGTAATATGGTTATCGAAATGGGCATATGATGTATTCTACGACCCTATGTATTGAACTACTGGTCTTGGTTTGAATTGCCGCTTCTAGCTTGAAGCCATGTTGAAGAATGCACGAGAAAGACTGAGCGAAACAAGATCAGCCATGAATTGGAGGGTGGATGCTGATGATGGACAAGTGTTGTGTTCTGTCTACAGTCTGATGACTAACAGTACACCTCCACATGTAGGTCAGGACCTACTAGTAGCCAAAACTGACATCGGGTTCAAGTGGTCTTAGAGTCCGGCTCAGAAAAGCGAGTGACCTTGTTCAAACTATGTCATTTGCCAATTTTCTATATGCTCTAATATTCAGATCAACTCAATAGTCATACTGCGTGCAAATTTGTCAGCAAATGCAATGTCTAGGTCTCAATCTGGGACAAGTATCATATCAAAATAAATAGGTTGGAAATCCATAGAAGCAGAACCCCTTGTAGCTTAGGTGCAAGTGAGATCGGCTGTCTTTTTGTCAAGGAGCAGCGGTCCGGGTTGTAGGCAACGCCAAGCCGTTTCTCTTTAGCCAACCTGCACGACGGCATCCGGGGATAGTACTCAACACTTACGTTTAGTAAGCCACTATTGCTGTCGGTGAATAACTGATTTGGGCCCTGGAAGAACATGCAGTCGTACCTGTTATTCATGAAGTTAGTTGGTCTCACGAGCTAGAGCACACAGCAGATAGGGTCCTACGAATGAGCGAAGAAAAGCTTGTATTGTAAGAAGAAGAATCCTACGGGTGGAGGACCCATATAAAGGGGACCCTCGAGCTCGTTCATGTGACATGGCACGTGGTGTGGCTGACGGTATCCGCCACACAGACAGGAAATGGTGCAGCACACACGTCAATATGCTCCCCCCTGCTGTTACAATCCAACCAGTTGGGTGCTAGCTAACGTAACTATATAGTACAGAACAGGGGATAATGATGCAGGTGCATTATTACTAAAGCTTTTGCTTTGTACTAGAGTTAGTTACCCTCACCTACTTATAACACAATAATACACCTCCCTTACGTTGAGGGTATAGGTTTAAATCTGTCGTGATGCCCTCATGGGCATCACACTCATGTGTGGGGCCGGCCGGAACACGGTCAGGATTTATCCGGAACGGAGCATTAGTTCTTCTGAACCGAACTTCGTCCCCACACCAGCGCCCCACTCAAAGAATCTATATTTCTTCGGTTAGCGCCACCTGTTACTACACTGTAGATAGTTAAGCCGTTTTCCTATGATCTCTCCTACCTAAAAAGTGACTCTACGACACAATCCTAGCGCTACTAGCCAGGTAGGATCCTCTCTAGAGTCCTTGGCGTTCTAACTGTAAGCAGCATGTGTAAAATTAGTCCCCTATACCCTATTCGAGTTTCCCTACTTATACCTATAATATACCTAGTTAGTTACTAGGTATAGGGCTAAGGGACATGCCTCCTAGAGGGGAGACATAGTGTAATAATCTACCTAGTTAGGTGCTAGCTAACGTAACTATATGGTGCAGAACAAGGAATAATAATACAGGTGCTTTATTACTGAAGCTTTTGCTTTGTGCCAGAGTTGGTTGCCCCTGACCTGCTTGTGACACCTGCACTGAGAGTTATGTTTGCTAATTGATCAAAGACAGCTGGGTTCGCCAAGCGATTGACTAGACTATAACAGGCAGCGGCAGGAAACTTGTTATAATCAGGGTTGCGCTTCCACATCTCCTCTACCTGGGTTGAAGTAAACTTCTTGCGAGCCTGTAATTTTGTAAGAAATAGATCAAGGCTAGGCGTTATAGCCTTTGGAGTGTTCTCACTTCCCTAAAGTCAACGAGACCTTTGAAACCAGCCGCCGCAGACACAAAAGCCGACGCAGTAAAAAGTACAGCAAGGCCCGTTACACCTATAAGAGCAACAGCTTCTGCTTGTCTCGCTTGCAAACCGGAGTTTTCTTTTCCAGACTTTTCTTTGCTTGCAAGATCTCCCTTGGGAGAAGACAGGCTCACTCCAAGGATGTCTCGCTCAGTAGCGGGTTCGACACCGTCCACCAGTACCCCGCTCTCATAAGGAGGAATCACTGCGTTTGGTGCATCCTGACGCTGGATAATCTTGTTGTTGTTAACAAAGTTTCTTATGAGAAATGGGATGGTTGCGCCAGGAGGGACATACATTTGGCTTAGATTACTGTTACCCGTCAGAAGATCTGACGCCATTTGTAGTGGCGCCCTGTGATGACGGGAGAGCAGTAACAAGGGTGGCACCACTGATGCAGAAAATGCAGAGGCCTAGCGTGGAGACGTGCATTTTGACAGGAATAAAAGGTAAACGTCACAAAGGCTAGAGGAAATTATGTTCAGGCGGTAATGCAGAAGTGAACTTAATCATGGAATGGGAGTGGGCTAGACAATCTTTTTACTATAGCTTACAATGACGATAATTGAGATGACAGTCTCAATAGCCAAATACCCTGAAGGAGGCTACCTGATTCAAACCTACACTCCGAGGATGGCTTTCCTTTATGGCTCAAGGACCTACTGTGTTGATGGGGGCTTTTGCGACACAAGTTGTAGCAAAAAAGCGCTCCGACCACCTGTCCACCTACGACAAGGTACTCAAGGGTTCCGGTGTGTGCAAGTAAGTAATTAATTAGTATTGGCTTTACCGACCAATCAGACTAACTTTGGCCGTTACAACAGAGATCCTATGGAGCAAGCACGCAAGTAGGCAACGTTTCAGGGCAGGCGGGAGAAGGAGGGGTTATACTTTAGTTAACTACCGATACAGAGCTCAAGGGGGTAACGATAATCGCTGAGCTGACAGGCAGGCGGCAGGCGGGGCAAGAGTTCGTCTCGTCTCGGGGACCCCATGGGGTCAGGTGGCCGACTAATGCCCCCGGGTAAGTCCGTCCTTAGAAACGCGTTCCAGCATTTATCGGAAAGTTATCTGTATAGCAGTAGACACCAGTAGTATTGAGGGGCTATAGCCAATCCGACAGGTGGTTCAGCCCTATGAGGCAACGACACAGGGTTATTCAAAAGGAACTGCTAAGATACAGTCGCTAAAATGAAAGAAGAAGCACTCGTAACGGACATCCCTGCACGCAATACCCTCGTTCGTCCTGGGTTCTGGACTCGGTAAGAGTTTCTCGAACCGCGCCCAACCAGACACATCATCCACACTTTTCGTAATGGGTTTGTTGTCTGATTGTAGATGTACGTATCAGTTTTTACCTTTTCTGGCCGCGCCATATCTGGTAGCTTAGCTGCGGGTCTTCTAATCCTGACCTTCTACTTGATCACAGCTCATTGAAGTTGAAATGAACACACAGTATGATGGCGACGAGAATAACAGAGCAAGGCTGCGGACCACTTAGGAGCATACCCTAAGACGAAAGATATCTACTTGGAAGTCACCCAGCTATGATCACAAGATAGTTATCAGTAAGGAATAATTACAGTCTCGGTGGCAAGAATAAGGATGCTCTCCCTAATCCCGTCGTCTGAGGAGTTCTCATTTCCTGGTTTCATGACTATGGCTGTAGGGAATGCCGCCGTAGTTCGCATGCAGCATGCTAACAGCCCTTAAAATTGTGTAGGAACTGCCGCAACACCACAAATAAAGTGTCGTGAAGCTGGAATAGCTTTGTGTGGCTAGTACCAGTAGACACCGCCACAGATGTAGCGTATTACCCGCACAGACCATGTGAGAAGGGTATTTCTACCACTTCTCCGGCTCATACGTAGATTCTTAATAGAACAACTATCCGTACTATTCTCCATAATAACCAGACGCTACGGTTCTTTACATAAAGAGTTGCATCCAACTTAAGGTCTAACTGCTTGGAAGCAACGCCATCTGCTTCTTCCTTTCTAGACTAGGGGATTAGAAAGTTAAAGATAAGAAGGAACACCGACTTTAAATATACAGCTAACAAGGATGAAGGCATTATGGGATTTCCGTTTAATTTTCGAGTTCCTAAATTAGGCTCCGGCAATACCGATCGGCCTTGACATCCCGGACCCATTACGAGTAAGGTGGGCCAACTACAGAGTACATTCACCCCTGAATTAATTGATAGTAAACTCGTAGTTAATAATCCTTTCGATTATCGAAATAATAAAGTAACTACTCTAATCGAATAACTACAAGTACTCAGAGCTTTCCGCATTGTGTTGTAGTTCAGCTGCTCTACCAACCAGCATTCACTCACTAGTCCAGCTTTCAATCATTCCGTCTTCCTAATTTTATTAATCAATATGGTTCTAATCAGTCTCAAGCATCTTCTGCTTCTAATCAGCCTTTCTCATGTCGCACTTTCTCTTAAAGTTCTAATCGGCTATCGACGAGTGAACCGAGTAAGTTACGCATGCGCCCCGGTGACGAGCTGTTTGGTTATCTAACTACCAAATAGCTTGAAGCTTTTGAAATCAATCAACGAAACAACATATTCCGGGACCCCGCGTGGGATGATGCTGCAAACAGGAACCAAGCAGCCCAGATCGGTAATGGTGTATACCTCTCCATGACGGTGGATGGTTATGATGGCGAGCGGACCGACTGGTAAGTAACAAATGATCAAAACCTTAGATATGCGTGTGGATTGAAAACTAATCAAGTTTGCCATGTTTTGAATAGGTGGTGTTATGTTTTGGCAGAGGCAGCACCACTTACTCGGGTACCAAAAGTTTGGATTCCCAAGCGTCTATGGGACAAGCCCGAGATCAACATTGCTGCCTTGGTGTCAGGATATGTCAGCGAGCCAGAATTCCCAGGCTCTGCCTTGAGGCTGTCCCAAATAAAGGGATACCCCAACGGCCATATCCAAATGTTGATACCTACAGAAATGGTTCAGGCCAACGCATTGAGTACTAGCGCGTATTGCTACAGAAACAAAGCGCAGTTGCCCTATAAGCAGCCTGTATCATACGACTGGCAGGGGTTCCGTAATCAACAATATTAGATATATAGAACAATATCACGTCACATGGCATATGTTGGAGCTGGTGCTAAGTGCGAGTAGAGCATGGAGCTATTGCGACTGATTGTATTTCGAGGTGCGGTTTGTACATTATCAACTCCTCGTCGCTGTTAGGGTTGCATTTCGGCCGCACTTGTAACCCTATGATGTTCTTTCTGGTTAATTTAATACTGAAGTTCCCCGGCCACGGTTTTACTCGCGGACCCACTGCTAGCCTTATTTACACCCTGAGCAGAATTTAATTGTTTGACTATGTATTACTATTACTTTTTTTAACAACTAGTTACTTCTAATAAATATATAATTGGAGATTTGCGACCGCGTCGCCGTTGTTTGCAAGGCATACATAGAATGAATCCGCAGATGTCATGGTGAATTCCCCCATCCCTTCCAACCCAGAGGCCTCAAATAGATGTGAGCTTGATGAAAAGCCCTGGTCAAGGGCAACAGTAGCATTAAGTGAGTCCAACTGCGTGCGATTAGTAAACGTCCATGGCATTAGGGAATTCTCATAGGAACCTACTGTAAACTCATAAGTAAATTCAGTACGGCCATCCATATCAAGTGTTCCGGGCCAACATTCTGTTGATCCTCCAATAGTGTTTCCTTTCACCATGAACACTGGCGCTTCAGTTTGTGGAGGAGGAGGAGGAGGAGGAGGTGTTGGTGTGGCGGTTCTAATGGCGGTACTAAATCCTGTAGGAGTCATGACCGGCGGGGTTGTAGAAGTTGGACTGGTGTTTCTCAGTTGGCATGCACCTCTATCCGTGACACGCTTGCAGATTGAGTGACTATCGCAGCTGAACACGCCAAACCCGTTGTAGGCTACCGGGTAACCGCCGTCGCTCTTCGAAGCGGGCATCTTGACGTACGCCAGCTCTTTCAACAAGCTCTTGACGTTTGCCGCGACTTTTCCCTTCACTTGGAGGCGTTCGCGATATCTGTCGCTGCTCAGCCAGGTGGCAATCATCCCGGCCACTCTCGGTGCGGCGAAGGAGGTCCCGAAAGCGTGTCTTGTTTCGTAGTCCCTGTCTCTTCTTGCGCAGTCGACCTCGCCCATGGCCAGTACGGTGACCTCGTCGATGTCGCCTTGCGAGTATGATGTACGGAGGCCGTTGGCATTCATGGCACCAACGGCGATGACGTCCATATCCGTTGCGAAAATGCCGGGAAATGTGTCGATGTGCTCATAATCCCGGCGTAAGTTTCCCGAAGCCGCCACGACGGGAACGTCGAGATATATTAGAAGCTCCATCTGGTCTCTCAGGCTCTCCATCTTGGCATCCCACCCATCCTTTAGAATTTGGGTGCCGAATGCTTTGCTCATCTCCATGTCGACGCCAGCCAAGAGGACAGACATGGTGACGACGGCCTTTCCTTCCAAGTTTCTCGCCGCAATGTCGTCTGTTACCCAATAGAGGGCCATGACGATGTCGGAAACGAGCGGAGAATCAGGAAGCTTAACAATCACGATGTCAGCCTCCTTGGCCGCGCCAAAGCGAGGCCCGTTGACGAGCGACTGGACACAGGTGCCATGTCCGGACTTGAGATCGCTGTCCGACTTCGAAGTGTTTTCGTCAATAAAGATCCAACGTTTGTTTCCGGGCGACTGTTTGTATTCGTCGTGAGTTGGGGTTGCCCCGGTATCGATAATGTAGACCGTGACGCCCTTTCCTGCACTTTCAGGGTAAGCGTACCCAGGCATATCATCAGGGTTATATGATGCAAATTCAGGGGGTTGTGACAAGGTCATTAGTGAGGTGGCCGCCACCGGATCAACCAAGATGCCTTGGGCTACTAAGTCGGGCTTGGTTATTAGAGGAAGCAGGTTCTCTGACGGGCTGGGAGGGAAGGGTTCCTCGCCGCCGTCCCCTATGTCGGATTCCGGGAAGACCCAACCTATATCCGCGTCGTTGAGGAGTTCCAGGTCCTTTGCCAATGTCGGCGTGGTGGTGAAAAGGAAGATCATTGTCTGGGGACCCTGCTCGTCTTCTCTAAAGTGTACTTGTATAGGTCCAACGGCATACGGCCGCATTCGGTTTTGGAGGTCTGTTCCAGCCTCCCGGGTCAACTCCTTGTTGCTAACGACAACGTAGGGGACTGGAGGCTCGGTAGGCGTGGGTGCCGAGGACGAGGAAACCGTGGTTGAGGTTGTGCCTGGCGCTGTGGTTGACGTTGTGTCTGGCGTTGTAGTTGACGGTGTGCCTCGCGTTGTGGGGGTTACTTGGGGCTTCGTGGGCTCCGGATCACCGTGCTTCGGCTCGTCCGGGATGTCCGGGAGTTCGGCAACTTTGGCCATGTCGATTTGGCCGAGGGCATTGGCGACGGGTGCCGCAACGATGGCACCGGCCGCGTACGGCGCCGCTGCAAGGCCGGGGCCGGTGGAGAGAAAAGCGCCGCCAGCTTCCACCAACATTAGCATGGCGGCCCCGGCTATGGGGTCCGTCGTTTGTCCGCCTCCAACATGGGCGGTTATGGTGGTTGGCGCGGAGGAGCTTGTTGGGACGAGGGAGGTGGTGCTGGCCGCAGGCGGCGCCGTTGTCGTATTTTGGAAGACATGAAAATTTAATGATGCGGAATCAACGACGGCCGCGAAGCCGAGCCAAGCGGAGAAGTGCCTCATGGTTGCGACGTCGGAGAACAGCGGCGCGCGGACTGACGGCAGTGGGAAGAAGAAAGGAAAGAGCAAAACGGAAGTGCAAAGCTACGTATGTATCATGGAAAAAGCAGAAGCTATTAGTTTTAGCCCCAAGCAGGTCATGGTTTGCCCATCAAGTATACTACTAAGTGTTGGAATATTATAGCGGTATTGTATAATCTGGAGCGAGGAATATGCATACTCTTGACCATAAACCCCCCGGTTATAAATGGTCATGCGGCAGGTCCGTCCATAGTACTTATTGTACTTTAATTTCGCAGCGCAAGCAGACAGGGGTGCTGAAAGTCTATCTTCCACTAGAAAAGCCCACGTCAAAAGCACATTTCTAGAACAAAGTCAATTTCTAAGGTAATGAATTGAAAATGCATATTAAAACGCGATCGATGTGATGCTGCAGCCATACATCCTTCAGTGCTGTTGTCTGTTGGGAGACTTTGAGGCCTGATAACTGAATAGTTGCCGTCCGGGGGTTGCCGGCTTACTGGCAATCTTGCTGGTCAAGATACACGGTTCTCAGTCGCATATCTAATGAAGAACCATATGCTTGAGGTTACTAGACACCTCAAGCATACAAGTATTGAAAAATCAGTAAAAGTCTTCATGATTCTAAAAATGGCGTAAGAGAATGCTGTAGAGCTACGGAATATGGAGGTCCGTCCTTGAGAGTGTCTACTCCCATCCTATAACCAAGTCTGCTGTTGGTGTGCCATAGATAGACTAATGATCCTGAAAATTCGATCTCAGTACTCCGTAGAAGACCGACTATTCGATTGTTGATTAATCTCATCCTATTCGGCTTTGGCCGGATAGTGAGTGGGGTTAGGTATCAGTTGCTATTCTATAGCGCCCCACTTCGTTAACACAAAACATCTGCTCAGCCTTCCTACTTGCTCACTACCATGTCTATCACAATAAGGTGGTATGGGCATCCGTAGAAGAGCGAATATCGGTATTATACTCTTCGATAAGCAGAGTGGTTATTCACTGCCCCTAGTTCAGACCAGCGCTGACGAAACACGTGCGAGTCCACGTCCTGGCACAATTCTTCTTGACGCCGGAGTTAGAGAAGTGTGCTGTCGAAAACTGGAACTAAACCTCGGCAAGCTCCGGGTGCGTGAGAGCGAGTCTTTCGTTAGCTGTATCAGGGTGGCAGACGATTCAATCAATCATTCGAGCTAACTGTTCAGGGACATTATTCTCCGGGTCGTTAGATTGCACATTGACAGCCGGTGGTTCAGAAAGACGTTCCATGATCTCATGTACGAAGGAGGAGTTGGTTTTATGCGGGTGGACGATCTGTGTCTTCGTTACTAAAGCACAAGGCCTGTGCGGAGTAGGACGTGGTTGCGGAAACCGCCTTTGCGGTCTAGCAATAAAAAAACAAGTCAAGTGGCCAAGCGTTGATTTGAGTTTATGCTTTCTAATTATTGACCACTGAAGCTCATTCCTCCGGTAAGGTACGCCAAAACTATGGGGCTAATCTGTAATTTCAAAGTCTCCACTGCAGCCCGAACGTGCAAAACTTACGTGATGCAAGCCGGAGGAATGGTGTATATCAACAATCTTGTAGTCACCATGTACTTCAAAAGCCAGCACATGTACGATCTCTACGAGGATATGGGCGAGACGGCAAGCCGACTATGAGACGGCGAGTTAGGAGAGAGGACGCCAATAAACAAGCAATCCGGATGAAGGTAGGGATAAAGCTTGCTTCATTACCGCCGCACTTGGAGACCACTGACACTCGCAAAGCCAACACCAGCAGCAGCATGAATATGATATATGCTAAAATCGTAGAGACAATTGGCAAGATAATTGATGCAGTCGTAACTATTAGAGGTTTGTAGTTACTTCCCTGGCCTCTAATTGCGGCAGCCCAGCTGGTCACATCACAGGGAACCTCCCGGAGTCAAATACAGGTTTCCAGTATATTCAGACTGAGCTTCAATTCATGCACGGAGCCATGAAGGTTGACCTGAGATTCCTACACAGCGGAGCATAGAATGAGTTGGAGGCGGCTCGTATCCGCATGGCAGAGGTGAGAGAGGCTGCCACGAGTTAGAGAACACAACGCGGCACATAAGACTCGGAATGAAAGTGCCTTGTTCTATGAAAGTGAGAGCATGAAAAAGAAGGTCTTGTATATATGTGGGTGGTGCGATCAATGAGTGTATATCACGTGGTATGGCACATGGCAAGACTGATGCCAATTGCGAATAATTAATGCATCTAGCTATCTTGACAAATGCCTCGATCCCCCTCGACAGGTCTGTGACAATGAATATCTCACTTATACCCTCGTCTACAGTTGAGATTCGCAGCAAAACATTACAAGACTCATGGGGTTCTACTGAAACAAACAGCTGGGCAAAGAGAAGTTGGGTACGGTCAGCGCCCATTCGCCGCTCGCCGCTGAAACCGTGGACCTGCTTGATACAATATTTGACAGCATGAAGGTCACCAAGCTGATGGCTGCCTTGTGCTCCCGTGACACCCGTATCGAAGTTCCTGGTCTGTTCTGCAATTTATCTGATCCTGCAGTAAACGTTGAAGACATATATCATCAATGCGTTACAGAGTGGACAGCCAGTAACGCGGTCTTTAGATCACAAAACAGTAAGATGCCTGACTCTGTTGTGCTCGTTTCGACGGCAATTCTACAACACCTCGATCGGAGATCCCATGGAAGCACTGCATTCTGTAGCATAGCAACAGCCCGCTCCTACTGGATATCACATAGACGCTCTCGCCATCCTCTTAGGTGTTGTTAATCGCGACTAGAAGAGTGTCCTTGATTACGTTGACAGCTGTGTCAAAGCCTCGCCTGGAATCGAGCGGACCGACCAGCGATTCAAAATTGACAGCTGAGAGGGCATACTCAAGACTGGCATTATCTGCTACCGCAAGAAAGGAAATTAATTCATACAGCTAATTGTAGCTATAGATGGCCACGCTGTACAATATAACGCTCAGATGAATAGGATGATAATACATTCCTCGTGTTAAATTTTCCATCCCAAAAGCTTTCTCTACTAGCATTTTACCATCCGCACGCTCCTGTGTTCGCACTAGATTATACAATCACTGATTATGTTTGTTACCTACTGAGCATATCTGTTTATATATATACAACAAATATACGTATATACTAAGAATCATCCTGAACCTCTATATCTGCTCCTTAGACTCAGCCGCGGGTCCAGTGAAGAACACGCTTGCCTCTTCCAATGTCTCGCCATCCTCCGTCTCTACCGTACCGTCAGGCGTCTCGCGGCAGCAGTAGCCAGGGTGACCGGCGCGAGACCTGGCGATAAAGCCCCATAGGGGGTCGCAGCCGTGGCCACCGGCTTTCATTTGGTCGCGGTTGACCTGCTGGATCCAGCCGTTGCCGCACAGGCACGCACCAGGCAGGCAGCAGGTGGGTGAGGTGCTACAACGATGTGTTATTATTCAAACAGCTCGCATCGTCAGACTTGAGTGGCTTGCTGGTAACGGCAACCACTGGCGGTTTGACGGCCTTCAAGCACGGCACGGTAGAATTCTAGCTCTCCCGCATCGACGGGTTTTGCGGCAGCAAGGGAGGCCAACCTTACAAGGGCGAGTACAATGACTTTCATGATGCTTGTACTGTGGATGAGGGGGATGAAGGTGAGAGAGAGAGGGCTTTGAGCTGTGGAGTTTGGAGCAAAAGAAAAGCCGTCAATGAGGAATTGATTAGCTCTTTTGTATTTACAGTTCTCTCTATGGAAGTTTCTTAAGTATAGGACTCCCTCCATAGCACATGTTGCGTTTTATTGTCTCTATTACTAACTTGATTCTGTAGAGTAAAGTGGAGGATATGATAGGAGCTGTAACGTTAGGTCTTGATGAAGTAGTGGCACTTGTAATACCTATAACTGTAAAGATTATAGCAGTAACTAGAAGTCTACTACTTACAACTTGAGTATACTCCCTCTCTTATTTATCTTATAAACAGTAAGTCTACTAATGTTTGGAATTCTAGACAATATGCTTGCTAACGATGACAGTTGCTTTAGGTGCTATAACAATTATAGGTTTTAACTGTTTATTTACGGCCTGGCTGCTTGGCGTTACGTAGCTATAGGTCTATTATAGAAGTTTTCAGCCACCTTAAGCTATCTGTGTGAGACCACGGGTATGACCCTATGGACGAATGGTCACACTTGCTAACAAATATAATTTAACATTGAAATAACTCATCCTATTCCCCTATTAGTTCGTCAAGTTCCGTGAGGTAGTAATACGGAAATCATCACATAGTGGTCCCCATTTCCTCTCTACACCTATATCGCTTGAATAGGAAAGTCTTAACCATGGCCATCCTTGTGGCGTTCTAAGCTTATTGTTAATTTTTCAATACTTATTAGCTAAATACCAATGAGAACGCTAGGAGAAGACACAGGGCTTGTGCTTAATCTAGAATGAACGATAGATACTGCTATATACACACCTTGTGTCTGAAGCTTTTGAAGTACCAAGGGTACTTGTTTAGGATGATTGTGATGTAATTAAGCAAAACGGGGGTGCTTCCATTTCTGTAACTTTGAAAGAAGCCGTATGATCATCGGCTAGCGTGAGGGGGCGTAAGCCTGACCCTGTAGGGCTGAACCTAATCAATCGCTCAGTTGAGTAACTCACGTGTCCGTCCCGGCTGCTTGGCTTTCACGGAGGATCTTTCCCATGATGCGGCTTGGGCCTTGGCAGGTCCCGCCAAGGATATCGATGGATGGGAAAGTCAGGCACCCCAGGTTAGCTAGATGGAAAAAGGTGAAGAAGAGTGTTTGGGGGCGGGGGATGCGTTTGTCCGTGTCTATCCGGTCAGCCTATAGGCTTTCTTGGTTACAGGCAGCAGTGCTTGATTAGACCCCTAATCCGTATTAAAGTCAATTTCTGAGAAATACGATAACAGTCTTGCCTCGTCCACCACCACAGCCTCGCGCATCAGAACAATCACGACTTTCCACCTCTCCTAGTCACACATACAACCCTGAGTGCGCCGTTCAACATGTCAAGGTTCTTCCGACGCACCGATGATTCGTCCGATGAAGACGACGACGACGGGAACCCAGCCACCCTCTCAGGACCCTCCGGTTCAACTGATCCGGCGTCAACCCGCCCCCATCCCCGACGCGAATCCAGCTCGAGCAGCCTCTCCTCCTCGGCTTCCGAGTCCCCGCCACCTCCCCTCGATTCTTCCGCTCTACCCGCCCCTGTTAGTCTGATTCCCGCCATCAGGGGCCAGCGGAGCTCCCCCCGTCCGCCTGACCCCCTCTCTGCGCCACTTGTCCGTTACATTGTTCGGTCAGTTCCACATCTGGACATGGAAACCGAGGAGGATCTTCACCTCAAATTCACCTACAAGCGGTACAACTGCGTTTGCATCGAGATTTGGCTCCAGGCCATTGACCCCGAGACCGGTGACTCACTCGTCCACGCTATTGTCCGTTCCGGGCGTATTGGAGCTCTCGGGGCGTGCCGACTCTATCCGACCTGTGGAAACGGACAGGCTCAGTTTCAAGGCCATCGCGAGAGGCATATACTGTTTATGCATCAAAACGAGGAGGGCGACAACGGGTTGCACGTCGCTGCGCGGATGGGGGGACTACCGCTAGTGAGGGCAGTGTTACGCGCCTTTAAGGGTAGGGATATGGATGACGGGCGTGATGTTCCGGATGAGTATGAAAGACATGACGTGAGGGATGAGGGACGCATGTTTTCCTGGGAAGCAAAGAGGATACTATTCATTGAATCGAGAAATCTGGCCGGAAGAAGTGCTGCAGAAGAGGCTCGGCACCACGGACATGCGGAGGTGAGCGGCTTTCTAGAGCACGTTCTCGACTGTTCATACCCTTCCAAGTGCGACGACAGGGAGAGCGCGAGGCAGCTAGCCAGGTCGATCGTCGCTCAGGGCTACAGATTCACAGGTTGTTAATTCAATCTGGCTAATTACTCCTTAAGTGACGATAGCCTTTATAAATAATGAAAAACATGAACTGCTCGTCTGACAAACCAGCTGGAACAGCCATCGGCGCCTCTGCGCCGCGTCTCCCTTGCCCCCCGCCTCGTCTCTGGTAGCGTAGCCTGTGTGCCAGTTCAAGTCCATACCATCGTTTTGCTGGTCTAGAGTGTTGGCGGCGGCAATAGCCATCTGAGCGTAGGTCTCGGGGTTAACATTAGACACGCTGTACGACGCTTTCAGAATCGCAGAAATTTGGTATACCTCTCCACCACCCTTGGGATACGACCCGGAGTTGCCGTGGACGAGATGAAACAGTTCGTGGAGAAAGGTGCGCGCCATGGGTGCGATGGATCTGAGCTTTCTGAAGATCTCGACGTCTCCATCGTCCACGCGGGCCACGGTTCCGATTTCCCGGCCCGAGGGGCGGTCCGCCGTCGCGAGCTGAAAGGGCCTGTAGCTCCAGTTGTTTCCCTTGCTAGACTGGCGTAGACCAAATGCGCTTGGGCAGAGGACGATATAGGGAAAGGGGTCGTATGGCTGGGTGTAGCCCTTGACATTGCCGTCGTGGCAGGGCCCCGCGTCTACTCTTCCCGGACGAATCTAGTCAAACTCGTACACCTTTGATAGCTTGTTCCAGTACTTTGGTATTTTGTCTAGTTTCAGCACCCGAATGATCTCGGTGGCGGGCCAGGATTGGGGTCGGAACACTTACGGGAACACCGTCGGCCTCGCTGACGGTTTTGGTGTTAGTGGACAGCTGGTTCGCGGTCCTGCTCCGCTTCTCTGTGTAGGCTTTGATCTGGCTGATCTTCATGTTGTTGCCTTTGCCGTCCTTGACGTTCCTGCCGTCTGTCTGTACGGCATCTTCGTCTATGGACTTTCTGATGAAAAAGTTAAAGCATCACGCACCTCGGCATTTTTTCTGTTTCTTCCACCATCATGATCAGGAACTAGTGAGACATAACTCCGCTACCCAGTCTCTTCATGACACCAGCAGATACATTTAGACACACGCCGATATGGCATTGGGTTATGGGACCTGAAGATACCCTCTCACATCTGTCTGCATACGTATCACTTTTGGATCTTGAGTAGTCACTCAGGTCAGAGGCGGCAGGTAGAGAGTCTGGCTGGACGTCCATGCATCTCATCCCTGATCAGCTGGGTGGAGGAGCGAGCTGCAATACAAGACAGAACATGCATAAGTCGTCTTGCGATTGAACGAAATAGGATCCGGTGCTCAATGCTGATCCGCAGCACCGGGGGTCTCGAGCCGGAGACGGGATGTGGCCAACTTGGTGTATGAGAGTAGGCTCCAACAATACTGTGATAGAGCTTAGGTTATGAACGCAAGTTGTCCCGAAATTTTCACATACGACCATACCCATTGGAAAACTCGGGATCCCGTCCGCTCTCCCATAGATAAGCCAATGAGGGCCGGATTAGTAGTTGAGTCGGTGACGACCAGCGAATACCTAGTGTTATATGTTCTTTAGCTACCTCAGGGTGCGTGGTGTAATTAGTAGTGTTCGGAACCCACTGTATTAGCACATCTCACGCCCTTTGGCGACATTAATAACATGATTTTAGCACTCCTGTATGGCTAATAAACAATAGGCGTGGTGTTTACGCCTTTTCTTATATACCTTATTACTATAAGGATAAACTATAACTAAAATTAAGCGTTAGCTAATTTGCCTTCTACTAGAGTTGTAATCTTCTATTATATAGAGAGCGCTTGTGCTGCCTTATAAGTAATCTAATTAGATATTAATAGCTAAGGCAGGTTATGTCTACTGCTATATGTTTATTACCTGTATTTAACCCTTTAATAGCTACTTATTAAGCTGCTATATATATATAAACTATAAGAGGACGCTGCTAGCTTAATTAGTCTAGATATAGTTAGGTATAGGCTTCCCTTTATTACTATTTAATAAGTACGTATACAGTAGTAATACCCTTATATTAATTAATTATTATGTTATATATCTTTATTTATTACTATTATAAATAAGGCCCTTTAAAAGAGGTAATATATAGAATATTATTTTCCCCTAATTTATATAGGGAAATTAACCCTAGAAATACCTAGCGTATTTATAGTTATTTCCCCCTTTTTTTACTTAGGCGCGCACGGCTATATTACCTACTTTAAAATTTAGGTCTACTATATTAGTATATCTTACGCCCTTTAGTAATATCTTACGCCTTTTAGTAATATAGATAACATAATTTTAGTATTCCTCTATAGCTAATAAACGATAGGTATAGCTTTTACTAATCTACTACTATATATAACTCCGCTTCCTATAGTAAGGTAAATTAACTTACCTAACTAAAATAGTATCTTTAGCTAGAACTACACACTACTCTATTAACTTATAATCTTTAAACTTACCTTATAACTATAATATTTATTATTATAGAAGTTTTAAATAATAACATAACCCTTTTAAGAACTATTAAGATATAAGGCCACTATACTAGTAATATAGTGTTAGAGGCAGAGATAGTATTAAGTAAAGGAGTTAGTAATAGGCGTAGTTAGGGTTTAATTATAATAATTATTTCTATTTGCTTTTCCCCTTCCCTAAGATTCCTATAGATTTCTCCTTTTATATACCTCTTAGCCTATAGTTTACCTATATCTAGCCTTACCCTAGTGCTCCCCTAGCGCCCTATTATAGCGCCTAATATAATCCCCCCCTTTTAAGGTCTTATCTTTAGGACCTTAGATATATAGCTAGTAACCTACTATTACCTCCTTATTATACTACTTAGTATCTTAGAAGCGTCTAGAAACGTTTTTTAGGCCTAATAGGTTACTAAGCTAATAGTTATCTTCTTAGCTAACTACCTACTTTAACCTTACCTTTATAGCTACTATAGCCTAGCTAAGCTATAATATTACTACTTAGTATTACTATTCTAGCTTAAGGATATAAGTGTTTTATTACCTACTTAGCCTAGCTAGAGGCTACTTAGTCTTATATAAAGGCACCTTACCTACTTATAATACCTTTTTTTATTACTAGGCCTCCCCTTTAACCTTTAGGTATAATAGGCTTTCTTATTATCTTTAGTTATAGTACTTAGCTTTTTATAACTATTTACCTTTTTTAAGTAATAAAAGCCTTAAGTTATACTATTTTTATAATAAATAAAAGTCTTAGTTTATTACTTTATAAGTAGTACTAGTAACCTCTTAGGTCTTACTTATGTTTTTATAAGGTCTTAGTTTACTTATTCTTATAGGCTTAAGTTATTATTATAACTTACTTTTTACTAAAGGCTAACTAAAAAAGGTAATTCTTTTTAACTTAACTTATTTTTAACTTTTTTTTATTATTACTCTTTTATTAATACTTTTATATTATTATTATCTTTTTATTTCTTTTTATTTTATTACTAGTACTACTTAGCTACTATAGTAGTAATAGTAATAATTATACTAGTAATAATAATAGTAGTACTAGCTTTCTTTCTACTACTATTATACTCACTAGTGCCTTTGGCTCCTAAGGTCTTTTTACTAACATCTTAAGCGTCTTTAGTACTTCTCTAGCCCCCCCTAAGACCTCTTTTACTAATAGTAATAAAAATAAAAATAAAAATAAAGTTAATATTTATATTATCCCTTATTAATACTACCTTTAGGCTATATCTACTTAGTACTTTAATCTTAAAGGCGCTAAGGCTAAGTTTTCTTACTATATTAAGACTAAAAGTAAGTCTTTTTTTTTAAGTATACCCTAAGTACCTTTTACTTATTTTTTTATAGTTCTAATGGTTAGTAGCTACTAGTAATAAGTACACTTAATATACTAATATTAAAAATAGGCAGGGTAAAGAGCTACTAATAAAAAGAAAAGAAATAAATAAGTAGGAAACCTACTACTATCTATAATAATATCTAATAATAATAAAACTTTTATAAATAAGGAGGTCTAATAATTCTTAGACCTAAAAAAGAAGAATTTTAAAAAAAAGTTAAAGATTAATAGTATAGCCCTTAATATAACAGTATATATCTAATAAATAAAATATATAGTAATAACTATATATATATTATAATTCTAAAGTATTAAGGATAATAAATAATAATACCCTCTATCTAGATAGGTCTATAAATTCTTTTATTTACTAACTTAGGTTATCCCTAGAGCCTTATCTTTTTTCCTAGTTAGCTTTTATAATAGCTAACTTTATCTACTATCCCTATTATAATTATCTCTTTAGACCTCTTCTTTTATCCCTAAAAGAAAGGTCTAACTTATTTATAGACCTATCTTAGTAAAAAAAGTAACTATAAATAAAGGAAAAAAGAAAGAAATATAAATATATTAATGCTTTTTATAATAACTAATTTACTTTAGAGGCTTAGGACTAGCTAGGTAAGTAGTCTTATTATATAGCCTATATTACCTTATTATTCTCTTTATTCTTTTAGTAGTATTATTTACTTTATCCTATTTAAGACCTTAATATAGTCTAAACTAACTTTCTTAAGAAACAAGATAACTAAAGTTATAATAGTAGATATAGCTTAAAATGTTAGCCTTTAGCTACTTCTAATAATTAATTCTTAGATTAATAAAGGAATTATAAGGATAATCCTAAATATTTAATAGACGCTAAATAAGGGAATATTTTAGTTAAAAAGAAATAGTTTTCTCTTAAGAATTATTATTATTATCACTATATTAGTTAAATATAATACTAATTATTTATTATAAAGTTTTATCTTTAAGTAATCCTATAAGTAAAGGTATTAAAAGTAAACCTTTATTATTATTTTTTATACTTTAGGTTTATAAATTCTTAACTATATTAAGACTAAGTAGTGTTAAGAAATAATTAGAAAAAATAAAGTTATTTAAGAAATTATTATAAGACTACTTTACTTTATGTAAAGAAAGGTTATGGTAAACCCTTAGAATAATAATAAAGTTAGCTATAATAGCTAATACTAATTACTTTATAATTAAGGTAAGTTCTTTTTATTATTATTAAGGCTATTCTTAAATATTTTTTTTACTTATAGTACTAGATTTAGAAAATAAGACGCTAAGTTAAAAAACATATTAAATTTAGTTAGTAATATAAGCACTATAAGTATAATTATTATATTACTAAATAGTATTAATAATATAAGAAGAGGATCTAATAATTAAAAGGACTTAAATAGGGACACCTAGATAATAGTACTATGTTATTAAACTATAGATTATATCTATAAATCTACTATTAGATTTAACGCTTTAAGAAGAATCTATATAGAAGACCTAGCTATTTACTTAGTTAACTACTAAAGTAGCCTAATAAAGATTATTATAGTTAAGTAAGAAGATTAAGGTATCTAAATCTATAATTTCCTATTATTAATAAAAAACTATATTAATAGTGTCTCTTATAACTTAGTAACTTATTACTTATCTTAATTTAAAAAAAGGTATATAGAAGTTAAGCCTAAAGCTAAGAAGTATATAATTAATAAAGGCTATAACTTTATTAATAGTAAGGTTTTTTTAGTGTTATAATATCCTTATAGCGTTATATAGACTTAAAGTGTAATTTATTTTACTATAGTAAAAGCCTTAAGTGATTTCTTTAAAGAATTACTTATTACTACTAAATTATTAGACAATATATATATAAGATATAAAAGTATAGTTATTACTAAGAGATATATACTATTTAGTAGCTAGTAATAACTTTAGGTTATTATTACTTATAATCCTCTTAGATCTAATTATCTAATAGGCCTAAAGTTAATTACTTTTCTTTTAGTATTCTAAACTATAATTAACTAAAGCTATATAAAAGGACTTTAATACTATAGGTGCTCCTCTTAAAAGCTAATAGTTATATTTTCTTTTTTACTAGGTGCCTATGTTTTTTAATTCCTATATTACTATAGCTTTACATATTAAAATCTAGATATTAGCTTTATTTAAGGTAACTTCTTAGGGGATAAAAATAGTCTTAATATATAAAGGAATAAGACTAGGGGTTAATTCTAGGGTAATAATAAAGGCAAAAGGTAGGTATAAGTAGGTTATAAGACTTTAACTTAGCCTCCTAACTGTCTATAGGCTAGGCCTAATTTATATTAGTATAGTGCTACTAACTAATTACTAGTATATTA